AAACTAAAACTCAGCTCCAAACTCAAACCCAGCTCCAAACTCAAACCCAGCTCCAAACTCAAACCCAGCTCCAAACTCAAACCCAGCTCCAAACTAAAACCCAGCTCCAAACTCAAACACATCTCCAAACTTAAACCCAGCTCCAAATTTAAACCCAGCTGCTTCATCTTCAAATGAACGACAAACAGCTAGAAATGATTTCTTCACCTGGTTGTAGAAGAACTTCAGCTGACAGGCAGAGCTGGTTCCATCCTCTGGTTTTTATTGAGCTAAAGATTAAATAGATGTTCTGATCTTTGCCTGTTTTCAGACTCTGAGCTCCTGACCCCACCTGGAAGGATGCGCCCAGCCATCCTGTGAAGGAAACTCATTTCAGCCGCTTGTATTCGCGATCCTGTCCAGAGCTTTGTCCCCCGACTCAGCTCCTCCTTCACCACTAAAGTCCGATACAGCGACTGCATCACTGCCGACGCCGCACCGACCTGTCTATCAATCTCACATTGCATGAGGCCCTCACTCTGGACCCCATATCGGGGTCCAGAGTGAGGGCCTCGGACTTGGAGGTGCTGATCCTCATCCCGGCCGCTTCCCACTCTGCTGCAAACCACCCCAGTCCACGGCAAAGGTCCTGGTTTGATGAGGCCAACAGGACAACATCGTCTGCAAACAGCAGAGATGACATCCTGAGACTCCCAAACCGGACCCCCTCGGGTCCCTGGCTGCTCCTAGACATTCTGTCCATAGATGTAATGAACGGACCCGGTGGCAAAGGGCAGCCCTGCCGGAGGCCAGCAATGTGAACCAAGCTCCTGCTGCGGTCATACAGACAGCAGAGGGCCCCGGGCCCCATACACCCAGAGAACCTCCCACAGGCACCACTAGGGACGCGTCAAACACCTTCTCCAGGTCCACAAAACACATGTGGACTGGTTGGGTGACCTCCCATGAACCCTCGACCCCCGGATGACGGGTGTAGAGATGGTCCGGATGGTTTACTTCTCCTTTGAAAAAGTCACGTGCTGAAATATATTACGTTATATCGATAATAAAAATATCTATGTGTATTTGGATGTGAATTCACAGCGAAGGTGTAAATTCTATTATTAAAGGTATTTAACCACTGGATAGAACGTGTGTTTGCATACGTATTAATTTAGCTCTATTTTAGATCTATGTCAGATTTAAAGGCTAATGCTTATAGCATCATTCATTCATAACCTGCAGATAGGAAAATACTGCAGCATTAACAGACATGTACTGGTAATTCAGTCTGGATGGGAAATCCTGTAATTACCACAGCAATGTAATAAATCCATCTATATCACATGTTCATCATTCATTTATCACTTTTGGGAAATCAGTATTATTCTGCTCCATTAACACATTAATTGTGATGGTTTGTATAATATGTTATATTAATGATTTATAGACTTCATACTGACTGCATTGATGGGCCTATTTTTTATTCTAAGTTAAAGTGGTCGTTGTCACGCTGCCGTGCGTTATGAAGAATCCTCCATGTTTACGCCCAGAACAGAAACAATCCATAGAAATTTCAGCGTTTTAGGAGATTCTGGGACGTCAGGCAGACGCTGGATAAATCCTCAGGGTGTAATGATTTAGTCTTTAGTCTGGGCTAAATCCTGCTTCCATGGCAGCAGGTTAAATGGCCCCTCAGCAGTGGGTTTGATAAGCAAACAGCAAACGAGCTGCAGCAGGGCGGCACCTTGTCGTGTTTGTCAAAGACGCTCTGCAGGAAGAGGTAGGCGTTGTGGTTCAGCTCCGTGCTGCAGTCAGGAGGAACCTTTAGCCTTTAGAAAAACAGAAGCAAAGGTCTGAGATGCAGCCCAGTGGAAATCTGGTATCTGATGAAACATCAGGTGAGACTCACGGAGGGAAGAGATAGTCCTGGTTTAGCTCCAGGTCATCGTCGTACCCGAACCTCCTTAGAACTGTCCAGGTGGTTTCATGGCGGCCGCGCTGAATGAAGAGCGTGTGCAGAAAGAGGAAGCCTGTAAGGCAGGAGAGACGGAGCGGTGAGAAATACATGCAGCTGGATTAACGGCTGCTTCCACTGGTTCCTACCTTTTAGGGTGAGTCCGTTATGGAGCACGCCATCAATCAGGTTCTTCCTCACAACGTTCTTCACATCCTCCAACGCCTGAGGCTCCAGGGGGCTGTGGAAGCACGCCCGCTGCCAGAGAAACGCAGCGCAGTCGGTTAAACCACATGGAAAC